CCTTGCAGATCTGTTTTATGGCGTCCTGCCTATAAAGAACTCAGAGTCTGATTCAGATGAACTTGATGAATATTTACACCTCAAAGTAATTTCAGCACAGGGTTCAATTAATCACTCCTTAGGCTTCACAGGTTGCCAGTATGTGTGGGTACCTCACTGCTGGGGTCATTTATTCACCAGCCCTTCAGCCTTCAGGAACGTCTCAAGATTCAGTGCTGGAAATGTAACAAAAGGCTGACTGAAGCCCAAGTGAGTTTCTGCAGCAATGCAAAGGTTGATGGCAGGAACAGCGGGGTGCTGCAGCATAATTGTTCATTTGCACATCTATTAGGATCCTTAAATATTCATTACTTAACGTTAAATTAACATTCTGTGTCAGGTGGAGAGGCTTTTTAATACAATTCTTCTGACCTCAGAAATGGCAGAAGGTCAAATGTGATCCTGATGCTCTAAGTGAAAAATCAGGTAGGGTCCACTTAGACTTACCAATTAAGAAGTAGAATCTCCTTTGCCAGAAAGTAAATGATGATCTTCAAAACAACAACAATAAAAACTCCTGCTTTTAAGGTAGGGAATGGAGGAAGGAAGTGAATGAAGGAGGAACTACTCCTTTCTAGCATTTTAATTTAGGTAATTTAGATCAATGCTTTATGAGTTTGACCCCCTTGGGGTCATTTGTTTAACTGACACAGTGGCAGACTTCCAAGGAGTTGGCCAGTTTGGGATGAATTGTTCTGCTCTAATTGGTTTGGTCTGGTTGCCTTACCAGTCAAAGGATCGTATTAGCTGCGTAAATGAATTCATGGCTTGATGGTTACCTGATCAATTTACAGATCTGAATTTAAGGACATTTCCTTTTTTTATGGGGATAGAAATAGTTTATCCACTAAAAAAAGTATGGAAAAAAACCCTTCCTAGCATAAATAAAGGCTGGCATTTTTTGACCTGATTTATATATTAAACAGTTCTAGGGTTTTAGTTCCCTTCATTCTGGGTCTGTGCTTTCGATATAGCCCTTCGTCTCTTATAAATTATGTCGGAAGGCCTTCCTTAATGATGACTAAGTGTTATTATATCTTATTCAAAATATGATTTTATGTCATCAATACAGATATAAAACAGATTGAGCCTTAATCATGTAACGAAGTATTTTGTAGATTGCATATAGATTTTTTAAAATTAAAGATGTATTTCAAATGATTCTTGCTGTGCAATGGACTTATATCTTCTTTTGCAAGGTCTGGGGCAATTTTTTTTAAGGTATGAAATCAATTTCAATAACCTTAACCAATTGACTCTGTCAGGCAAATGTATACCTGCTTCACTATTAAGGACTCAGTGTACATGGCGTCTTGGCACATCCTGGAAAAATAACACAATCAAACTACAATTTGTGATGTTAAAGGATGATTTTTAAAGGAGGATATAATCATTACTCTCATAAATGATATGGGTAGATGCCCAAGATCTTACTTAACTCATTAACTAACACGGGAACTGGTAAGATGTTACAAGTGGTTCTAAGGAGAATTCAAAGAGCAGAGACATGTACAGGAAATAAGGAATTCTGAAAAGAATTTACAAATAGATGCAAAATGGATCTATCCTTAGGCCAATATCAGTAATCAATTTCCCCTAATTAATTTGCATTTGTATGGACAAAGATCATGTATGTTATTATCAGTTTTCTAAAATTTACAGAGTTGTAAAATAACTCAAAGACAATGAAGGTGTTGATAACCTGGATAGATGAACTAGTTAGTCTTTCACAATTCTTCCCAACAGGATGAACTTTATCACCAGGAGAATTCTAAGGAACTTTCAAACTTTGGCAACTGGAAATGATGTGCATGTAAAGAAATTTTTTTAAGTTTAGAAAATTATTTTTTTACAATTTTACAGACTCTATTTCAGATAAAGTGTGTGTGTTTTGGGGGGGCATTAAAGATATGAAGATAAATCAGCTCTAATAAAAACCAACCTAACAACCTCTCCACCCGCCCTTTCATGAGGAAGCTGCCATGTGTTGGAATTCAATTCTTATCTAGCTATAGTAAAGTTAAATTTCAAAACTGCATCAGGAAATGAAACTTCATAGAGGCCAGATCATTTGGAACTGTTTTAGCCACTACTGAAATTAACAGGGCTTGATTCTCATTGGGCAGGAACAACAAAAAGATTAAGTAACATAAACCAATCCTATTTATAACAAAATTTCTCAAATTCCATCAATCATTTCTTTCCTGTTTTGTCTCAACTTCACCCTCCCCATCCTCAGCAGCTACTCTACTCCCAGGACCTTTTGTGCTCTTACCCAGGGTCCTAAGGGACAAGGCTATTAAATTGACAAGACGGACAAGGTATTTAATTGAACCATGTGAAATCGACAATATTTAACCATTCTTGATGGCAATTTCATGGCGCTCAACCTGATTGCCTGCATATTTCCCCAGTTTATACTGAAACAAAAGATTTTTGCTATAATTGTTAATAAGATCCTGCTTAGACCTGGCATCTAAATACGAATTTGTCAATTTTTAAAGCAAGACAGAATTGCTAGCCAGAAAGCAAATAGGTGAGTTACAAAAACTACCTTAGATAAAAGCTCCAGGTGATTTTATGCCTTAAAGTCATGTCCTGTCTGTAAGGAGAACAGATTAGACGAGTTGCCCCTTTTTTTTTTTTAAAGATTAAAGTTCATTTCTATGAGACTGCCTAGAGAAGAAATGCAAATCACCACTATACTTCGGGGACTGCAACATTTCCCTCATCTTCGCCTCATCTATCTGCTCCAGAAGAGCCGTACAAACCTCAGGTGGGAGGATAGCATATTTAAATAATATGATTGTGTGTGTTGACATTTTCCTGAAAAGCCCATTTTTGTACTATCCAGAATTGCTGTGAATTCCCTGTAATACAATTTGCGGTATTATCTTGAAACAGAAGAGGGCGCTCGCAGGCAAGCTGCTGCTACCCAGAATGAGAAACAGCGTTTGAATTTGATGGTGCTTGTATTGCGATTAATAAAAGATCTTGGGGGCATTTTGTAAAGCATTTTCAAAGCATTGTGAATCCAGTGGAGTATAATTAAAATTAATGCAATAGACAAACACTCTAAAGTATTCCTAATGCCTTGTCTAAAAAGGCTGTTAAATACAACTTTACACATCCCGAAGATTTAAATACCATACTTATCTCTAAACATTTGTAAGTACTAAAGAGATAGAAAAATAGTGCCTTTCTTCTGAACACATTTCAAACAAACTTTTTCTGATGAGAATTAATGAACTCTAAATCTGCTTACTTTGAAAGAGGTATAACATATTACAATGAATCTATAACGTTCAGCTTCTGAGCTTCCAGGTACATATATCAAGATCGATGTGGTCTCCAAAGAGCTCCAGCCCAGGATTGTACTTTCAGGCTCTGAAGTAAGAACAAGCAAATATGTGCTTTCAGGAGAATATTCCATGCCACCTTGACTCGGGGATAAGACTTTACCCTGTTTAGTTCTCTGAAATCAATAATGAGCATTGTCTTTTCAAGATGGGCTCTGTCTTTCTCTCAGAAATCTTTCTGGGTAGATGATGTCATTCCCTTATAAAGCCTGTTAGAATGATGTGTTTCCAAAAACCTTAGAGCATGAGTAAGTCTATGAATGTGGCTAAACATTTGAGGCATTCCTGAAGCTGTCTTCCACACTCTGAAGTACAGAAGGCTTGTTTAAGACATTGGGTGCCTTAAGTGGTGACTTTGAATCACCTCAAAATGTTATGTGACCATTGCTCCAATTAATTGTCTTGCTAATTCTAATGTTTACTGCATGTCTACTAAGTACCTGCATTTTTCTAGGCACTGGGGATAAACAATCACAGAAACAGTAAGTTCCTGTTCTTGTAAAGGATATGTAATAGTGGGGGAAGTGAGACAATAAACTGGTATCAGGCTGTGATCATTGCTATGTAGGGGAAAAAAAAAAAAGCAACAGAGTGGCAGAGAATGCCCTTTTAGATAGGTTGGTCAGGAAGGTCCTGTCTGATGAGATGACATTCTAGCAGAGACCTGAAAGAAATGAGAAGAGTGTGTCCAGCAGAGGGAACTTCTAGTGCAAAGGCACTGCAGTCAAGGTGTGCTTAGCCTGTCAGAGGAACACCAAGGAGGCAGGTGGCTATAAGGTGGCCAGGGCAGAGTGAGCAAGGAGGATGGTTGGGGGAGGAATCAGAGAGGTTGTGGGTAGGTGAGGGAAGCAGATCAGTAGGCCTCAATGGGCTATGGGAAGGACTTTGTGTGAGACGCAAACCACTGGAAGGGTTTGTGCGGAGGAGTGACATAAGCTGAATTACATGTTAAGATGGTTCCATGGACATAGAAGCGGGGCAATGAGAGAAGCAGAGAGAGCAGTTAGGAGGCTACTGCAATAACCCAGGTGAGAGGTGATGGTGACTAGGGTGGGAGATGAAAAATGGTTGGACTCAGGACACGTTTGAAATACAGAGCTAACAGTGTGTGCTGATGGATTGGATTGGATTCCCAGAGTGAGGGAAAGAAGGAAACCAAAAATGACTCCCGGAGTTTTGGCTGAGCAGCTACGAAATGGAGCTGTCTTTTACGGAGAAGGGGAAGACTGTTAGGAGAAAGTTTGAGGAGAGAGATTAGAAATTCAGGTTTGGATGTGGTAACTCTGGGATGCCTATTAGATATCCAGTTGGAGACAGTAAGTAACCACTGGCTGTATAAGGAGGGACAGAGGTCTGGGCTAGGGATGTGACTTTTAGAGATATCAGTACTTAAAGCTGTGAGACTGGATGAGATCACCTAGGAGTGAATATAAAGAGTGGAAGGGGTCTGAGAACTGACCCTTCGCATTCTCTAAAGTTCAGAGGTCGGGAAAGTGAGGATGACCCCATAAAGGAGACTTGGGGAGAGTAGCTCACTAGAGTAAGTGTGATCAGTTTCTTCAAATTCCGCCTATAGGGTAAGACGAGGACTAAGAATTGACCGTTGAATTCAGCAACATGGAGAACATCGGTGAACTTGACAGACAACTCAAGTGCATGTGGAGACCGTGAGTAGATGGCTTTTGGGGGGAGCTTTGCTGCAAATATGAACTTTGGGACAGTAGCTGGTGAGGATGAGATCTTTTTTAACATCCCTTCAACCCTTGAGACCTGAGTCTTGGCTTTGGTCTTTACTAGTGTCTCTCCATTATTATTATTTTTTAACCTTACTGATGTCGACTCTTGCTAAAAATTTCCTCCTCTTTCTCACTGTCAGCACTTATAGAAAATGATTCCTTGTCATCTTTCAATCCCATGTCATCTGAATCTTGTATCATTTATATCTTCAGATGTGCCTGTTTCTTCAGTTTTCATTAACTGTATGTGTGGTGTTGAAGGTATTATATACTTCAATATAAATTCAGCCATTGCTTCAATTGTCTCTTGTTTTGCTTTTAAATATTTTCTTGATTGAACTCTATTGGTCAATGTCATTTCATGTTGATGTGGTGAACACCTGCAAATTCCTCCAAGTTCCTAGAGGACAAAACATACGTAACTATTTTTTGTTTGTTTGTTTGTTTTTGGCTGCGTCAGGCCTTTGTTGCGGCATGTGGGTTCTTAGGTTGCGACGTGCTGGCATCTCTCTAGTTGTGCTGCGTGGGCTCTGTAGTTTGCGGCATGCAGGCTCTCTAGTTGAGGAGCAGGGACTCAGTAGTGGTGGCGCACGGGCTTAGTTGCCCCGTGGCATGTGGGATCTTAGTTCCCCGACGAGCGATTGAATCTGCGTCCCCTGCATTGGAAGGTGGTTTCTTTACCACTGGACCACCAGGGATGTCCCATACACAACTATTTATTTGGTAGTTTTTATATTTACCTAAGAGTTTGTACCTTGATTCTTTGTTATAGTCTGGTATAATAATACTCTATGTCAATAGTTTTCTAGTAACTAATAAATGAACTTTAGTGAAATTAAAACATTTGGAAAAAGTGCAATTTAAGTAGCTGCTGATGTAATGTTTTATTTTCTTGATTCCTTCTTTAGTTTTAAAACAATTAATGATTAAAATAGAAGAATAAATGTCCATTTTAAATATATTATTATTCAAATACAGTATTTCATGTGTAAAGTAACCAAACAAAACTTACCAAACAAAACTACTACATCTTGCCATTCATACTCTGCTACACTCTTTTAAAGACACAAATAGCAACTCCAAGTGGTCACATAGAATGACAAAACTGAAGTAACTCAGGTTCTATTTCTTCCTATTTACGATCATTGTTTATTTTGAATCTATGGTTCAAACCCAGGAATACGTAGTACCAAAGGGGATGGAGACAAGAATTGTGCCTGAAGCAAGTTTGAACAATTCTGGACCGTTATGTATTCCCACAACAAATATGTGTATCTAAGTCCACATGTGTCCTGGTCCAACTGTGTAACTGGGAGTTTTCCAAATTAACTTCTATGTAGAACACAGTGTTTATTAAATGTTAAGTTTATTAAATGTTAAGAAATTAAAATGTGCCAATGGAAAAAAATGTGCCAATTTGAAGCTTACATATGCATTATTGAAACAACAGTAATTATAGCAACTGTTTAGAACGCTATGCCAATAAAAAAGTTGGGGAGGGGGGCATTTTAGCTCAGACGTTGCTTAGAACTGTCAGCACATGGTGACAATAGAAAGCAGATTTTTATGGGAATTCCCTGGCAGTCCAGTGGTTAGGGCTCTGCACTTCCACTGCAGGGAGCATGGGTTCAATCCCTCGTTGGGGAACTGAGATCCTGCAAGTGGCATGGTCAAAAAAAAAAAGAGAGAGAGACTTTTAGTCAATTTCCTCATGTATTTAAATTCTCTGCAGACAGTGTGTACCATTATTGCCTGCACCCAGGACTGACTGCCCTCTCCCCGCTCCTTGGTATACATCAGGTGGTGGATATCTCTGCAGGCTAGCAGTGATCAGTTGTGAAAGGAAAACTGATATTGCAGAAGACAGAGAGGGAGAAAATTGCTAGGGCCTTATCTCTGAGTAGATCAGAGGGGATGAGATCAGCCAGCAGAGGGCTGATTTAGATAAGGGCGTAAACAGTTCACACATTGCAGTTGGAGGCAAGGCAGAGTTTACGGGTACGGATGCAGGCAGGCCTGTATATCCAAGGTATTATTTCTTAGTTTCTTTTACAGAAATGGCATTGGATTCAGAGACCTTCCACCCTCCCATAGAGGGTGGGTGTCTATGAATTTCCTTTAAGGACCTTTTATGACCAACTTTGATTTTATTTTCTTGAGTACTTTGGTCATGTCCTTCAATTTATTTGCTCTTTACTGGTATTAATGCTTGAATATCAGCTATGCTGACCCAACAGGCACATTTTTGTGATTTTTGGAACTGAGACTATGAATTCCCTCTAACAGAGAATAAATGTTCTGATTGGGGAAACCCAATTGTGATCAGTGTAGAATTTAGTCTCTTTCTGCTTCTCATCTCTGAGAAATTTGCTGCCGATCTGAGAGTGGCTGCATGGGGGTGGGACATGGCACCCAGTTGCAGCACTTGTCCTTTTCTGTAGGGTTTTGTTTTGATATTTTCACACTGCTCAGAGAGAATTCCACCCAAAGGTCCTCAAGTGCCATGAAAAGGACAAGGAAAGAGCATCTCTTAACGGTGGCGTTGTTAAATGCCAAGAGCCTGCCTCTCCAGTGGATTATTTTGAGACATTGAAATATTTTTCAAAGGCTTTGCTAAGTACTCATTGTGGAAAAGGACAAATTCTATATTAAACTTACACTGGAACCAGAAGTGGCCTTGGGTAAAATTGTGAACTAGATGATGTTTGTCACCTTTTATTACCTTTTCCCCCATCAGTGGGTGCTCCATCCCCTTCCCCTAAAGTCTCTTGGAGTCTTCCCCGTCTCTTCCTCTTTGCCTTATATGACTGACTGCCAGAAAAGGCTATACATTGGTAACTTAGATCTTGTTCTTCTCCGGGGAAATTGCTTCTGCTGCAGGCTTTTCAAACAGAGCTGCTCATTCTTCCTTACCCCACAGACTTCTAACTGCTTCTCTGCTTCCTGTGTGGTCATCCTCCAATCTACCTCCACACTGTAGTCAGTGGAGAACATGCAATCTGGCCCTTACTTACCAGCCAGCCTTAGCTTTGCCAAGATTTCCCTGTTCTCTATCCTCTGGCCAAACCAAACTGCTGTCATTTCCTCAAACCCACCGCGTTCCCTAGAGGTGTAGACACCCCAGGCTTTGGCTTGTACAGTGCCCTCTCCCTGGAACACCCTTCCTTGCCCCCCTTCCTTTGTCCCTTACTCATTCCACAGATCGAAGTTTAGGCATCCTACTCCAGGAGGCCTTCCCTGACTACCCCCATTCAGGTTAGTTGCTCCTCATAAATAATTTTTAGTACTGATCCCATTATATTGTAGATGCTTGTGTATTTCTCTTCCCCCTCCTCCCCAACTAGGATTTCAATTGGGGTGGCTCTGTCCAGAGTGATTTCCCGTTTTTGGGGAAGAGACCCAAATACAGGGGTGGTGGTAGGTGATGGTGGTATCAATGTCCATTAATCATAAGCTTAGCTAGAGCTTATGATCGATATGTTGGATAAAAAATTTTGAATGAATGAATGATAGGATGAATTTAGATCTATGCACCACTTCTCCTAAACATAGTTGCAATTTAGTCCCTAATTTTCACCAACAAACAGGCTAGAAATTCCACTTTACAATAGTTTAACAGTATATTCAAATCAATAACATTTTTTAACATCTTTATTGGAGTATAATTGCTTTACAATGGTGTTAGTTTCTGCTTTATAACAAAGTGAATCAGCTATACATATACATATATCCCCATATCTCCTCCCTCTTGCGTCTCCCTCCCTCCCACCCTCCCTATCTCACCCCTCTAGGTGGTCACAAAGCACCGAGCTGATCTCCCTGTGCTATGCAGCTGCTTCCCACTAGCTATCTCTTTTACATTTGGTAGTGTATATAAGTCCATGCCACTCTCTCTCTTCATCCCAGCTTTACCCTTCCAAATCAGTAACATTTAATGAATGCTTTCCATATTGGAGGTACTATGCTAGGAACTCAGGGGGCATATAATGATGAATAATAGCCTCAGTCCTCAAGAAATTTAAAATCTATCACACTTATAATTACGAATACACTTTTTCTTAATAAACACACACATACATCTTCAAGGGGTTGAAAAGATTAAAATGTCTATTTTAAAATTTGGCTTAAATTTGTTTGTGAAAGCTGCTCAAAGTGAAGAAGAACCTTTAGGCTTTTAGCTCCTACGGTGTGCTAGGGATCGAGTTTTTTCATTTAATACTCAAAATCCAGTAAAGTGTTATTTCTGGTTGTGAAATGAGAGTATCTGTCTTTTGTTAAAAGTATTTTGGAACCATTCTGTAACTGCAGAAGGTTTTTTCCTGCACTTGAAACGAGACCAGATACTTAATTTCCTTGACCTGTCCACATAAGGATAAAATGTAACCTTAAATTAAAATGGGGAGTTATTGTTTTATGGGTACAGAGTTTCACTTTGGCAAGATGAAAACAGTTCTGGAGATGATGGTGGTGATGGCTGCACAGCAATGTAAGTGTACTTAATGCCACCGAACTGTACACTTAAAAATGTTAAGACGGCAAATTTTATGTTATGTGTGTTTTACCACAATTAAAAAGAAATTAGTTCCAACCTAAAGAAGAGAGCCTCCCCTGATACCTTTCAACAGCTTTGTTGAGGGTTAATTTATATATCATAAAATTCACCTGTTTTAAGTGTACAATTTAATGTTTTTTGGTATAGTCACAGAATTGTACCACCGTCACCACAATCAATTTTAGAACATTTCCATCTCCCCCAAAAGCCTATCTTCAGTCGCTCCTCGTTCTCACCCCAGCCCCAGGAAACCACTAATCTAATTTCTGTCTATGTATATTTGCCTTTTCTGGATATTTCATAAAAATAGAATTTTATAGTATAGGGCTTCCCTGGTGGTGCAGTGGTTGAGAATCTGCCTGCTAATGCAGGGGACACG